CGACGTGAGGCAGAAGGCTGGATGTTCAGTTGGACATCCAAGACACTGGTTTTTAATATTTTATAATACATATACACAGCAAAGGACCACTGAGTTAGAAAGTGTGATCAGCTTTGTAATTGTAGCTTTGTATTTAGTGTCCATTTCTATGAGGGGTCACAAGTACAAAACAATGCAGGAAAGCCAGCTGAAATACCTCAATGCGGTAGCCGCCTTCCCCTCGGAGCACTTCCGAATGGAGTGCATGAAGCTTGGAGAGAATGGTCCTGCCAGCGGCGTGCATCGTTTCTGTGCTTTGACTAAGCGCCGTTGGATTCTGTTGAATGGTCAGACACTGGCTATTGGCTTCCATAACTTCCAGCTTGGGTGTCAGCGGGAAATGACAGTGGCTGCCAGTCTGATCTGAGGATTGCAACGGCCGCTTGGCATTTTTCAAACTTCGACCGCAACAGTTGAAGATCTTTGAAGCAACCCAAGCCAGACGTGCTCAGACAAGGCTCATTCTTGCGTGAGAAGCAACCACTGATGTATCACCAAGGCACAGGTCCCAGTCCTGCGCTTGCGCTTTCGTGATCATCTTCAGGTGGATATCACCATGGGTGACGCAGATGAGTGCTTAGCAGCTTGGACAAGCTTTCGATAAGCTTTCGGTCGGTTTCGTGCTTCCTTTTGGCAACACATGGGAGTTAGAATGCAAAACATGCAACAGATTGGCACTGTGGCCAACATTTGAACCTTCCAGATAAGGCAGTTGATCATGCTGTCTCCAAGATGTTGGCTTCAACAGGGCCTAACGCGCGCTCTTTGGTCTGCTTGGTCAAGGCCCAACTCGGAACAATGCGTTCGCCCAGGTGATGGATATTGATGGATGGACTCGTGAGGACAGCCAATACATAGTGGATGCCCCATACATGTTCATCCCGCTTTTCTTCTTTGATGGATTGCCCAGGCATTTTTCTTTGTTGGAGGGACGTCCAACTGAATACACACACATGTCTCTTTCTGAGGATCCTTCCACCTTTCGTGGTTTCAGAGAGCCACGGATCAAATTCATTTGATTTTGACTGATAGACCGCCGACTACAAGCCAAGACCATGTTTGCACTGTCGCTGCGCAGGCCTTCGCAAAATCGAAAGGTCTTGTCGACGCGTACGCCGGATTTCTCAACTCGGTGCCCGAGCTGCATTGATCCCGCTTTCCTCCGTTGCGCTACGGATCCTTTGACAGCCGGTTGCGGAGATGAGGTCGGCTGGGTCTTTTTGTGCATTAGCTTCCTCCAAGTTGAAGGATGCTTGCCTGGCATCGATCAGGACGAGGACGAGAAAGGAAAGGAGGGACGATAAGCTATGTTAAAAGTATGCAGCCATGTTGGTCCTGGCTGGGCTACTTGCATGCATCGCATGACGTATGCAAGGCTGTCCAGCTCACCCTGGGATTTGCGAATCGTCGTGATGTGTAGACCTACACTATCACATTATCCATCAACGTTACCTCTCCCCTTGACACACATCATCACACATTGCACATCACGTTATACATCATCGACACCAACACATTGTCAGTACATCGATTAGGTTTGACGTGGACCACGCCATTCTCCTTTCTGACTGCAGTTAATGGTTTTGTTACTTGATGGGCTATATAATGCTATATATATATATTGACTCCCGTGGTGCTGCTTCTACATTTGGTATATATATATAATTTCCTCTCGATGTTTGCCTAACTAAGTAGTGGACAACAAATAACACATTGATTTGTATATATATATATATGTATATTTAAACATGCAATAGAACATGTCGTTGGTATTTGTGTGTGAGAATCTCTTTTGTTGAGATTGATGATTAATGGCTTCATTGGGGTTCTTAGATGTTGGCCAGCTCGTGATGCGTATGGTTCACGTATATAATAATTCAGTTTTAGTTGTATTCCTGATGTTTTTGATTTTGATGATTTTGATATAATCCATTTCGGGAGTCCTCCTCCTCGATCCCATGTTCAGAGACGCAGATATCTTCACTTGACCTGCACGTTGTTGTATGTTGACCGCCCTGATGGGGTGCTCTTGGTGCTCGTTTCCTTCAGTCAGCTGGTGCTGGGGTTGCTACTACCTGGGAAATTTGCGAACTTCTGCACACGGATGTCTTCCAATTCACAGCGCTTTCCTGAACTTGCTGTTGTTTGTTAGCATGGATCCATGAGCGTCGAGTCGAGAGCAAGGTGCTCATGCCCAATATATTTTTCGTAAGCTGCATTTGTGAGGTGTGGTGGCTAACAATTGTCCATCCCCAGCATCCCTTACTATCTTGCTGTACTGTATCCCATTCCAAAGAACTAGGCCTATCTCACAAACATCCCCCAATGCGAAAGTACACCTTCAGACTATTTGTCGTTTGCAGGATTTGGATGACCTGCTGCCAGTGTGCCTGGACATTGGGACCTTGTACAGGCTGACGGCCTGTCAGTTCTTTGAGGGAGAGTGTATGCTAAGATAGAAGATGAATTCATATTTCCATGTGTGGCCAGTTCCCTCATCCAACAGATCGAAGTTGCCTCATCCAACAGATGGCAAGTCATCCAGAGTTTCTCCGACTTCGGAGGCTGATGGGCTTTGTAACAAGCTGCTGCCAAACGAGATGTCGGATCTCATTGCGAAGGCTGGGTGGTGGGAGACCTTCGAGTTTGTGTTTTGAACGCGTTGGATGGAACTTATCCAGCAAACGACTTATCTCGCTGATGAAGCAGCTCAAGAAAGACCAACGGGCCAAGAAACTGCCAATGTTTTGGAGCACGTTGCATGTTGAACATGCATGAACATGCATGGATAGGCTGCAACTAAATTTGCAGCAGGTTCGTCTCAAGCCTCCAAACCTGAATATATTTTGTGTTTGCTCTGTCCGGGTGGACGCCTGAGCAGCAAAGACAGGTGTGACGGGTTTGGACCTGTCCCCCTCGAGAACAAGTCAGCAACGTGCCTCAACTGCAGAATTTGGACGAGCATTGGTTTTGTTGCGGTACGCATGTGCACGAAGAGCGAAGCTGGGCAGTGAGCAATTGTTCTGTCAGTCGACCAATATCGCGAAATATTCCACCACCAGCTTACTTTCATGAAATGCCTTCACCAAAGTTGTACTCTTGTCAATTTCAAGTGAGCTGAGCTGGGCGCTTGGGTTTCACCGATAACGTGAAGTTTGTACGTCCTGCAAGACAACTTAAAATCTCAGAAAGTGTTTCTCTACAAGTAGTCCGAACCTGTGACGTTATACCTGCCAGCGGTGTCTGGAAAATAGATCATTCGAGGTATATGTCTGCATAATACAGGATATTTATATCGCAGCATCCTACTATCAACGAACACATTGCCCTGAATACTGCTAGATCTTGGCAAAGGGAACAGTCAGAGGGCACCCAGGTCTTTGGGGTAGGTAGAAGTAACGTTGCAGATTCATGCAAGAGAGACAAAGGTTGTTTGGTCGATGTGAGACTAGAATCCCAACAGCAATGCCTTTGCAGGTTGCTCCTTGAGCATCCCAGTGTGCCGAACAGGACCTGCCTTGCTACAATGCCATGTGGATGTCAGAAGTTAAGTTTCGATAAGCATCTAGGAACCAATCATTAGTGCGAGTGCTTCTTCAAGGAAGCTCCCCCGCACCCTCAGGCGGGGGTAGCTTCCTTGAAGAAGCGTGACCTATCCTGCGTCCATTTGTAGTAGCTTAAGTAGCTTAGTTGCTTACTTCCTTGTATAATTAAGTAGGTGCCTATACATATATATACTTAATTACTGAAGTGAGGGCGGGTTAAAGAAAGAGTAAAGCCTGAGGTGACCCAGTAGGAGACAATCCCCCAGGATCAGCTATGATCAATTGCAACGTAAAATGTGTTTCTAGCAGATCTGCTTGGCTTAGCTGGTGTTTCAGAGGAACTTGGCGCGCTCTTTCAGAGATCCTGGTCCTGAACGAACTGCTGCGGCCTGCCATGAAGCTCAAAGACAGCTTCTCAGTTGCTTGCCCCAAATGGATTTGCCTGGTTTGTCAGCCTGAATTTGACTCAAAGTGACTTTGAGGGGATCTGAGTAAAAGGATGTAAACAGATTCAACATCATTTCAAAGTGAATCTTTACAAGTTCGGTGCCTCGAAATCGGATCTAGATATATTTAGGCTCTTTCCCATCCAGACCCACAGCCTGGCCAAAAAGTCATGGAGTCATTGTATTTGCAACCGGTCCTCGTACCAATACGTGTCCCCACGCACGTTCCGATAGGTCCGATAGGAGTATGGAGGAGGTTCTCCAGTTCCGGTGGAATATTGCAAGGAAGTCAAGTTCCCAGTGGCTGGTTGATCTGGCTCTTGCCAAATTGGTCACGTTGATGTGGCTCGAAAGATCTGGTCCAACCTTGTGGCCGCCTTTGGCCCATCACTTCTGAAGCGATCACCTTTAGACGTGTCACTCCAAGGATCTCAAGAAGCCTTGCAAGACGTGTTCTGCAAAGGCTGCAGAGAGTGTTTTGAGATGCTGGGAACACCGCAGGTCACAAGATATTTTGGAAGCATTCACTGGTGGGGAACCACGACACAGGTCCTAGACAGGATCATCACTTGATCAAGTTGCACCTCTGTTATTGATGTTATTGTTTGCTTTCTCCTGTTCAAAGACGAAGGGAAGTTCGGCCATCACCACCACCATCACTAGTCACTAGCCACTGGGGGCGTGCACATCCCCCTGGGCAATTGTGCTCGCCAGGCAGCCGGATGCAGCAAGCAGCACAAGAAGTCAAATGGGCGTCGGCGCAGCTGTGCGTTTAGGAGATTCTTGATGGTCTCTACCGTAGAGAGAATCTGGTTTTGATAGAGAGCAATCTTCCGAGGCCTTTGTATTGTCTGGTTCTGGATCAGTTGGATCAACATTGGAATCGACACTGTCAAATGTTGAAGATGCGTACTCCCCGGACTTCCCATCCCAGCTGGTCCTAGCTGGCTAGCTTCATCATCATCCTGAGGCTGTCGTGAGCAGGGAGCTTCGGGAAGAGATGAAGCCGCTTGGACGATGAAAGCAAAGGGACTAGTTGCTAGTTTGTTGCAGGGTAGGTAAACAGAGCTTAACGACTGCTGCTGGTGAAAAGAATCAAACGATCTATAATAGCGTAGCGTGGATAAGCCCCACTTGGTGTGAGAGACTGTTTGCAAGGTAGCACATCAGGTACAAAACAACCATGAGCTTCTCTGGGTTCAGACTTGGGGGTGCTCTTGCGTATGATGGCTTTCGGGCGGTGTGCCTTGGCATGAGGTGATTAGGTACACACTCCACACAGGCACATGAGAAACGGCACAGCTCATGTTGGTTGGCTCCTGGTCACCAAACGATTCAGTTCATGACTTTCTGATGCGCATGCACTGCTAGGCCTGGTAGGCTGAGTCCAAGAGGAACATGTGTTATGAGTTATGCAATTATACAAGCAGGACATGAGGACTTGATTGACTTCTCACATAGAATGCCTAATTTGCAGTCCTAAGGAAGCTCCAAGCCGCCGCGTGCTTAGTCTGGTCAAGGCACGTATCCACGCGTCAAGCGCACCACCAGTCTGGTCTCAATCATCTAATCCATTGACATGGAAAATCGATGGAACATGAATCTTCTATATATATGTATATAATTATAAATACAGAAGGGGTGGCCATGGGGCCTGGGTTTTGGTTTTCCATAAATGTTCATAAATATTAGGTAAATGCATCAGTGCCACAATCAAAACCAAAAAACACTGATAAATATGCATAAAGGATAAAAAAACACATAAGAAAAAAACAAAAAGAACCAAAAACCATGGGAAAACAAACAAACTAAAAACACAATTCTGGGAGACTCTTGGCTGGACCCCCCAAAATCAGAAAAAACAAAAAAAGAAAAAAACCTTGGGAAAACCAAAAAAAACAAAAAAACAATTCTCAGAGACTCTTGGCTGGACCCCCCAAAATCAGAAAAACCAAAAAACCAAAAAAACCTTGGGAAAACCAAAAAAACCCAAAAAAACAATTCTCAGAGACTCTTGGCTGGACCCCCTTTTCCTCAAGACTTCCCCAGAATTGTTTTTTTTGTTTTTTTTGGCTTCCCCAAGGTTTTTTGGTTTTCTGATTCTTCTGATTTTGGGGGGTCCAAGCAAGAGTCTCTCAGAATTGTTTTTGTGTTTTTTGTGTTTTCTCAAGGTTTTTTGGTTTAGCATCTGAACTTACTTCTCACCTCAAGGCATCTGTTCTTTTTGCTTACGTCTGAAACCGTCTGAGCTCAACACTTCCTTCGTCCTTGTCCAAATCTCCATATACAAGTCTGAGTGCATTAACTGCTGACTGGTATCAATGCGGTTGCCACTTGCATTTCCAAACAGCTTGACATGCAGTTGCGAGGACACTCTGTCCTTTACATGAAACGGTTGGAAATCTTTGCGAGCGTAATTCTGTGCTTATAGCTCAAGCGTTTACATCTTATTCTGGCGAACTTCTAATTTTAATTCTAATTCCTTTCTAATTCAAATCTCATCTAATTTCAATTAGGCTATAGTTATAGTTCAATACAAGTTTATTAAAATGCGGTTTTACTTCAGTTTTATCTTAGCTCTAACTCAAATCCAATTTAATTCTACCTAATTCTATTCTAGCTCTAGTCTATTTAGTTTAAGAAAACACATGCTACAAAACCCCGTGTTTTACAGTATTTTTTGCTCTGGAAGTGCTGGGAACAAGACTAAAACTCTTTTTTGAAGTAAATAGTTAGATTTATTTATTGTCAGTAATCACTGGAGATAATATATACATATTAAACATGTTTTATGTACAAGCTTCTAATTCAAGAGCTTCCCTCTAGATCTCTGGGGATGATCAATTCTACAATAAAACTATATATAAGCTTTCCTTTCAAAAGCTTTCCTCTGGATCTCTGGAAATGGTCATGTCAATTGAAACATACTATATATCAATAAATAAGTCTTTCTTTCAAGAGCTTTCCTTTCATGAAAACATATATAGGGATATCTACTTTCCCAGAGATCCTGAGGAAAGCTTTGAAAATGCAAGCTCTTGCCCGCAGAAATCTAGAAGAAAGCTTTTAACATACAAGGTTTCTATATGGTTGTTTAAATCTAAACATGATTATCTGCAGAGATCTATAAAGAATCTTTTATAACATAAAAGAGTCTATACACAATCTTTCCAAATCTAAACATAATTATAAGCAGAGATCTAGAGGACAATGGTTAAAATAACCACTTTTATGGCATGCGTCTTTTCTAATTATCTTGTTCCAAACCATCTGAATGACTGATTGCTGCTTCCAAACCATAATATATTTGTTCATATAGAGTGAGAGCAAGAATAGATATGTGTGTTTATATGGAGAGGGGCTGCCACTAAAGCATGTACCTAAAATTTTAGGGAAAACCAAAACCCAGGCCCCATGACCACCCGCTCTCTATAAATATATATATATAATATCCTGTTCTTCCAAGGCAGCCAGCCGCGCAGAAGAAGCGGGCACCCCAGACCTTGGGAGGGGTCCACTCATATGCACCGAAGAAGTACTTTGGCGAGGTTCCTCAGGTATCAACGCCAAGATCATGCAATGCTTTGAGGACCAACGTTTGAACATGTTTCGCAATGTCATCACTCAACCACGATGGCCGGAAAATGACATGGACAACCAACCGTCCCAGACATCAGACAGCGTGGGCGATGAGCAAAAGAAGTTACTCTCCGCTGTCAACCGTTTGGTTGAGCAAGTGGATGTCTGATCACTTCGAGGCAGAAAGAAGCTTGCATGCGAAGCTGGAAAACGTCCAGGTGCAGCCTGGTTGGCCATGCAGTCTGCCCAAGCACCTGTAGACACCAGCGGTTTCCCAAAAAGGCACCGATGCCCCGACAGGCAGAGCTGTATCAAGAGAAGGCCCGCGTTGGTGCACCCAGACTCGTGCTTTCGGATGCGGAGGGCCGTGTGGTGGGGAGACTGGTGTAGGCGGGAGACGGTCGGGAACTGACATGTCAACTGGTTCCCTCTTAGATCGATCGAATAACAGGTTTAAAAACATGTTGACATGTCACTGTCATGGTTATCCGAGTGTTGATGCTTCAACTCCGCCCTGGTTGGGACCAGGAGGTGCTGTGCATGTTCAGGTCCAGGTAGGTCTTCTCACGAATTTGCAGGCGGACTGCTGTAGGCTTATGAGTGTTTGAGGCGGGTGTGCTTGGTTGTGTGTTAGGCATGGCCTCACCGCAAGCTTTTGACAGGAAGAGCGCATGTCCTAGGCCACTCACTGGTTTCTCCGTTTCTCCATGATTGTATAGATCTTGGAAAGGCGTGGCGTGTTTACAAGGATTCCAAAACTTCCCCAAATCAGCGTCACCATGGTCGTACTGGCTAAGGCAGACCAAGAAGCAAAGAAGTGCGTCGCTGCTAGGGACGTGCAAGAGGCATTTTGAGGAATTGTTCCTCCAATACCTTAGAGGTTGAAAAGTTAAGGCTCCAATTCGGCACTGACACATGCTGAAACCAGAATGTGATAATGAGGTCTTGAGTTTGCAGGCTTGCTTGCACACCTAATTAGAAGTCATAGAAGTAACATTTGGCCCTTAAAGGAAAGTCAACATGGCTGACTAAGTGCAGGCATTCAGATGTGAGACCCAACACATGATTCGTCCTTTCACCCTTCTCACCACACGTGTGGCAGGCCATAATTCAAGAAATGATCTCTGCAAACCAAGAGAAGCGCAGCCTCCGAGATGACCTGGAGGCCAATTTGTGTGGGACGTTGAGTGGTGGTCCGGTGACAGGGTACTCCTGGTATTTCCTGAGATGGGATGCACACTTGTTACATGTGGGGTACATACATTGCTCAGTTGGGGCTGAACAACTACTTCATATTATTTCATTGCAAGTACAATCTTCTGTTTTGGATGTTCTGGTTTGCCACAGGAGCACTTAACATTGCTCCAATAATAACACTTAGAGTCATAGTTCCAATGAAGGAACATTAGGTTGAGTGGTCTCCAGTGAATACTTAGCACTTGACCCGTTGGGAACGGCACATAACGGCACGGTGAATCGTCAGCTGAACAGAATTGTTTAAACAACAGTAACATTCATTGAAGCAAAAATCCGGCAGCTCCAGTGAATACTTAGCACTTGACTCGCTGAAAACGGCATGGTTGGAGGTCATCGCTAGTACATTGGGGGCCATGGCACCAGGTTGGAGGCCAGCTCTACCAGTTTACGTTCCATCTCCAGTAGGTAGAGGTAGGGTTTGTTCCACAATTGAGCGAGACAAGTGAATCGCCCTAAGTAGGTAAGATAAAAAGGAAAAGGCCTCCTGTTTTAGATAGGAAAAGGAAAAAGAGCCTCCTGTTCTAGGGAGCGAGACTGACGAATCGCTCCAAAAAGAAAGGGAACGGACAGACAAGTCTGCCGACGAACCCTGCCTCCTGTTTGCGGGCGAGACATGAGAGTCGCCCAATAGAGGAAGCAGGTACAGGTGGATGATCAGTTTGCGTATGACGAGCCGTACGCCCCTGCTATGAGTTTGAAACTCAAGGAGAACTCCTGGAGACGGAGGTGAACACACACAAGTTCCCGCATGGCGGCGCACTCTCGCTTTAAAGAAGAAAACAACGCAGGAGACAGCGTTGGTACTACGTAGGTTCTAGAAAAGCTCCTAATGCACTCGGAAACAACGCAGTAGACAGCTTTGACATTACTTAGGTTCTAGGAATTACCCGCGGCTCAAAAATCCTCACCTACACCTAGCCTGCAGTAGACAGCTTGGGCATTACTTAGGTTCTAGAACATACCCACGACTCAAAAAACCTCAGACTCAAAAACACTTCAAAGGCCTTTTGCAATGAACGAAAGCCTAGAAAGAGGAAACAAAGAAAAGAGAGAAAGAAAGAACGCAAATCCAGTGAATACTTAGCCCTTGACTGATACGGTTCATTCAGTGGTGAATCGACGTGGGCTCGTCAGTAGAATTTCAAGCGTTCCTGATAGAATGCAAAGCTTCAGCAAATGGCTTCCGATGCATGCATGCTATTCGGAAAGGATTCAGAATTGAAAGCTGCGCCCCTTGCGGGGATCACACTGCGCACCCAAGTGGGAAGATGCAGCTGGTCACACTTGTATAGATTCATAGTTCCAATGAAGGAACATTAGGTTGAATGGTCTCCAGTGAATACTTAGCACTTGACCCGTTGGGAACGGCACATAACGGCACGGTGAATCGTCAGCTGAACAGAATTGTTTAAACAACAGTAACATTCATTGAAGCAAAAATCCGGCAGCTCCAGTGAATACTTAGCACTTGACTCGCTGAAAACGGCATGGTTGGAGGTCATCGCTAGTACATTGGGGGCCATGGCACCAGGTTGGAGGCCAGCTCTACCAGTTTACGTTCCATCTCCAGTAGGTAGAGGTAGGGTTTGTTCCACAATTGAGCGAGACAAGTGAATCGCCCTAAGTAGGTAAGATAAAAAGGAAAAGGCCTCCTGTTTTAGATAGAAAAGGAAAAAGAGCCTCCTGTTCTACGGAGCGAGACTGACGAATCGCTCCAAAAAGAAAGGGGACCGACAGACAAGTCTGCCGACGAACCCTGCCTCATGTTTGTGGTGAGACATGGGAATCGCGCAATCGAGTAAAAGCAGGTACAACAGGTGGATCAGTCCACCCGTCCCTCGTCATACCATAGCTTCATTGCGTACGGTAGGTATGATAAACTGTACGCCCCTGCTTTAATTTAAAATTCAAGGAAAACTCATGGAGACGGAGGTGAGCACACACACAGACACAAAAATATTGGCCATGTGTGTTGTCGGTCCAACACAACGAGCCGGTTGGAGGCAAAGATTCAAGAGCAGACGCGTCGCGTGAGAGTCCCAGGGGCACCGTGCAGACGAGCGGCTTTCTGGTGTCAAACCTGAGTTGGGAAGCAATCATGAGCGACCATTAGCGACCATCCAAGATATGGCAACCCAGCTTGGTTTTGTCCCGGTTTATCAGATTGTTCACGCAAGTGTTTCAATCGACAAAGGAATGTCCACTAATTACATTTATTGCAGGTGGATGTTTTTGAATCTTTGACATAAGTGTGTTTCTTTCGCCCATGAGATTGTGATCCTAAGTGGAAAGGCTGATTGGTGGAACGAACGACCCTGTGAGGCGAACGACTTTGAGGCCAGGTACATGCAACTGCAAGCGCAAGAGGTGGGGCGAAAAACAAACGCACTTGCTGACAGCCCCAGAATTGTACAGTCAGGGTTACATTCATACCAAACCATGATCCAAAAATCATATTGCAAGCCGGAACATCTGGCCAACACACTGTGAGCAAGAACACTTGGAGGTAACAGCAGCAGTGTGGAACAAATCAGGAAACTCGGGCAGATGGCAGTTAAATTTGCTGGCAGGACATTCGATCACCATCCCAACAACAGGCCCGAAGGGGAGGGTGAAGAAGTGGATGTTGCGCCTAGCTTGGCTCAGGCTCAAAGTTCTTGCCAGGAGCAGGGGCTCAAACACTTCTCACGTTTAAGCAGAATTGGATGAAGGCTTAAGGTGAGATTGTTTCCTCTTCTGGATCTTTGTGGCCTTAAGATTCAAAATGCCATCACACAATTTCAGGCGGACAGGACGTTTGTTGACCGCCTCATGAAAGACAAGGAGCTTTCAACGGGCCGGGATTCAAAAGCGGGATCCACTGCGCAACACGTCTGGGATCCGACGGGGATTGTGGTATCCAAGAGAGTGTGGGGCATCCGGGAATCCTCGGAAAGTATCGTTGGAGATGGTAACAATGGTAGCTCTAGGAAGCCGTCAAGACAAGTGCAGGGGTACCGAATATCGCTTAAGATCGCTTGTACGTGTACGTACGTTTTGTCAAACCCAAGAGGATTACGGAGTTGAGGAGGTGTTTTGTAGATACGGCTGGACTTGCCTTCGCCTGGACTGGACTTTACCTCACAGGAAAGCCTTGAGAAGGGCACACAGAAATTGCAAGAGCAGCTTGCCAAGGCTGGCATCCTTGAGCAACCTTCCCTGGCTTATTGTGCTGATAGTAAACTTGTGTTTTGCAGACATTTTCCTAGACTTGGAAACCACGGCGCATTTCTTTTGCAGCTGCATTCGGCATACACTATACACAACCAACTGTGTAGCCGTCTCAGCAACAAAGCTCTGAAGGCCAATCTTGCCGCCAACGAGCTAGAGGCCATGGCTTGCTGATTGCAGTCGCACATGGATTTGATTTGGCAACATCTATTTTTTGCACGAGGCCAAATTCAACCAGGAGCGGCTGCAGCTTGAAGCTGCAAATATAGATCGCCAGGAACCCTAGATTTGATCTTTTGTTTTGCCTTGCTGTAGTAGACAAGACCATTGTCATTGTCCTAAAGGGACCCCTTTTGAATGCAAAAAATGTTGGGTCTGACTCTGTGCAGCGACTGCCCCAGTTCAAGATCTATGTAGATTCAACAGCTCTAAAAGTGTCCACATTGTGCTTAAGTGTAGACAGTGGCAAGATGATCTTGATCAAGTCAGTCCAGAAACCATATTATGTACCCTTGCGATCCCTTACATACCCACAACACTCAGTACAAACTGATTGCCCGACCCCTGTGACATTACGTAAGCACGCATACACTATTGGAGGCTCTTTGGTGTGTGTCCATCGATTTTTGACCAATACCCTTCCGACTGGGTCTCCCATGGGAGTGTGGCCATGTGGCCGGTCGGCGCCCCAGGCCAAGAGCTGCTCCAAAGGCAAAAGCTCACAGCCGAGGAAGCGGCCCAAGCGGACAAGGCGTGCGGGGCAATGGCGAATTTGCCCTGGGAGTCGAATGTGTCCTTCATTTGAAGGAACAGCTAGAGTGGGTAGGTAAGGAGTTTTCTCTGCTCCGAAGGATAAGATGATGAAAAGAATTTGATATGCTTCATATAGGCTTTGCTGGCTTGGGTGGAAAGCTATTGACACTTCACCCGTTTGCCTGTCAATGAGGTTTTGCAGCAGCAGATCAGATCGGCACAGGAGGCGGGTTAGAGGTGGTTGGTCTGAAGATATGTGTGGTTATGTCGGATGGGAGGTTGGAGGACTGTCGTTTGTTTTAAGCTGCATAGATACATACAGGGCGGAGTGGACCAATTGACCAAGGCCAATCTTGGATTTGGGAGGTGGTTTTGAGCATACCTATGCGTTTGACTTTCAATCCACGCTGCCACAGCCATAGCCTGGTTAACGGCTCTCAGATTCCATGGCTTTGACGTTGGCAGGCCGAGGTAAAGCTGTCAAACCGGGCAGCTGCACTGAAGGTTGGTGATTTTGGCGATGCGATCAGCGGTCGATGCGAAACGGTTTGGGCCAAAAAACCCACAGGTGGTGCTTGGCAGCGCAAGGGGAAGACACATTTTTGGTTGATAGCTTGCTTTGCCTATGATATCTTGATTCCAACAGCACAAGCCCGGGAAATGACCTTTGGCATTTTCCCGTTCTTTCAAACAGAGGCTTCTGCATAATTGTTTCACTTGCTGTATGGCTTTGAAGTTCTGAATATTATTTGCTGGCCAACAACAGAATGCCCTGCAGTGAAGTGTACTGCTTCTGGCCTCCAGCCAAAAATCTAGGAACCAAATCATTAGTGAGAGCGCTTCGTCAAGGAAGCTCCGCCCCTTGCTGGAAAAAAGGTAGGGGCCTACTTATATAATTAAGCAAGAGGGGGCTAAAGAAAAAAGGAACAGATAGGACTAAGACATCGAAAGAACATGAACACAACCAAGACCGGTTTCTGAAAGAGACTTGTTGGGTGAACCATCGTGTCTCCTTGAAACTTGGACATGAATGAACCACCGCGGACTGTTCAGATGGTTTTTTCACATACGTCAAGCTTTGTTTGATCAATTCGAAAGACTGCAAGATGGCTCATGGAAGGCCCTGATGGAAGGTGAGCGAGTCAAGGCGGCCAGCCTCAAGTTTCATGCCACAGTAACAACGGAGTCACGGGACACGGCTTTGTACTCTTCCCTGCAAAGGACCAGAAATGCATGCGACAGATGGGCGCTCAAATCATGGTGTGTATTGTGTTTATAAAATATCCTGAAACAATGTAAATTCGTAATATCAGATTAATTCCATAAGAAGCTCATCATTGAACTTTGTGAACTTCTGAATTCTGACATGTTTGACTTCTCGCATTTTGCTCACCGTTTCACACATCGTCCATTTGTTCTTTCTGAGTGGCAGGTAGAGCAGCTCACCGATGGTTTTGCACACGAGGTGCCGATATGATCTCAAAGATGAGTACTTGACGGAAGAGGTCTGCAAGCTATGGGCTTCATCTAGCTTCAAGACTTGCCCTTTTGAAGGGTGTAGTTTTTCCCAAAGCCTATGGCTAGGCGTTTTCAGGCCACAATGGACGGGGACCCGGGGACCAAGCAGATTTGCATGGACAACTTTGTCCTTAAATTGATTCCTTTAAGGATGCCACATAGGCTCAGCAGATGAAATAGAAATTCCTGGGTCAAAGCAGGCTGTGGGACAAAGATCCCAGAAGCACCTGGAGGACCAACTGCAGGAGCATCAGAGTCATGGTTGGTGTTATTTGAGATGCGGCAACTGAACTTGCACGTCAAAGGGAACAGATCAGGATGATTCAGGATGTTCTCTCACTATAATGTCATGAGTTTTTCAAGCCGTGGATGGGAAAGAGAACCGATTGGCAGGAGCTGAGCAGCCAGATGGTGGAGATGAGATCCATGCTGAGATCGCAAAAAGTCCCGGATGTCCTGCTGGCCTTGTCTTATCAATCTTATCAGAAGCACGCAAATACTCAAGCCAAGTGTTCATATCAGATACTCGAAGCAAAGTGTTCAGACATGTTCAGACCAAAGAAGAGATGCTCTTTCAACTAAACTGAAACATAGTATCATAGTAGAATCTGGGTCACAGGCCAGTTTTTCTTTTAGACAATCACAGCTTTCATCTATGCTGAATTCTGAGATTTTGTCCTTTTGTGCAAGTAAAGTAAGTGAGCAGAGTACAGCCAGGGTGCACAGGATGTGGAGTTGACAAGAGCCTTAAAGGAGGCCGGTGCGCGATGTGAGTCCCCCACAGATTTGTTCCTCGAGTCCTCTTCAGAATTCTGAAGTCCTCGCTTTCTTGTGATTATGATTATATAAACGGATCAACTTTGGAGGGTGTCTTTGACGATCTTAGCATGCGATTTGACATGATTGGAAGATGCTTGTCAAGAAACTCTGTTGCTAAGGGTCAGGGTTCCCTACTTTTGAATACTTTTGACACATCCATCAACTAGCATCCGTGCGCACTCATCACTCATCTCTTGCATCATCCGTGCCACACATCCCCAGAGCCTCATTTGAGACCATCCGTGAGATACTTCCTTTATCATCCTTTATCATCTTGAGGCCACACATTGTAACCAAGAGTCATTCCTTTATGTTGGAGGCCATCGCTCTTACTTGTATCATTCTTGAGCATCCAAACTTGAGGTCTCGGCCGCCAATGCCCAGATCCAGACCGCGGTGGCTCGGGAACTCGGCGGTCGACCGAGTGCAGGTGCTTCAGTAATGGTGGATCCATGGAAAAAATCACCCATTGTGGATCCTCTCGATGATCTTGGAGAAGATCCAGGTCTTGGATGTCTTGGATGTCTTGGATCCAAGAGTATCACGATTATGAATGCCATCATACCCCAAGCCCGCCATGCATGGAACACATACCTACATTGAACATCCATTGAATCATTGAACCCTGAAATCATCCCAATGCAGGACATATTCCATACAATTCCATACAATATAGCTTTGCCAGCTGGGTGTGACATTTATATGGCATGGTGCATCCCTGTGCACAGAGCATCGTATGCCATGCTCCCACATTGGTGGGTGAGAGATTTGTCGCAGTCATGCTAGCCACCGTACCCGTACCGGGCATCGCTACTAGTAGCAAGGACGCTATGAATGACTAAGAAGTGGGCCAGTGGTTCCCGCCAGCTCGCTCCCAGTGGGGGCCTAACGTAACTGATGATGGTGGGATTCACCCTCACATCACACCGCACAAGGCACGCGAGAAGGACGTGCTTGACCGGTACCGCTGCACAATTACGGGACGCAAGGTGGTGAGGAAAGCTCTACAGAATCCCAGCGTTGAAATTCTTTCTGTAGGCTCTCTCCCTTTTCTGACCCGGAGAGCAGATGGATGTATATACATGGGCTTCGTAGGCTCTATTTGTTCTACATTTAAATCTATTCAGGGTGAGGATTGATTGTGACCTGTGACAGCTGAGTTCCAAAGCATTTGTGCATTTTTGCAGTGCTGTGCTTCCTCTTTGTCAATCCTTGACTTCTGCCACTGCAAAAAGCAAGGTCCGGAGCACCAGTCTTGGCCTCGGCGATGGTCAAAATCTATTGGTTTCACAATGAAGGGAATATTCGGAGCGACCCCTCCCTTTTTGCTCTGCCATGTACTCTCGGAAGCCCCCCCCCCACTTTCGACTCCCGCTGAGCGTATATGTCTTTTTGAGCCAAGCCCCAGGTGTGGACCCGCTTTGATCTGTACTCCCCCAGCATTTCTTTTGAGATGGAAAACATGATACTCGGATACTCTTATTTATGTGTCTTTCTCACATGTTTGAAATCTGAGCAACTGGCAAATTTTGGGCCGATTGCGCCGCATGCGCCCATGTCCACGGCCTGTGCAGACAGGTCACTCCGAAGGATGCAAATGCACCCCCACAGGAGTGGGAAGATCACTGTCACTAATGCCATATATGATATATGTCCATGTGATAGTGCTATCAGAGATGCAAAGCATCACATAGATTCATTCGGTTTAGTTCATCAAATCCTACAGGTCCATGACATGTATCAGAAGTGCATCGTAGTTTGGTCTCAAAGCCTTGGCATTTGGACTGCCGGAACTACTTTGCAACCCAAGTGACCATCATCAGGCGTGCTTTTGCTTTGCAAACCAGGATGCTATGAAGTTCAAGAGGGGCAAAGTACCAAGAGTGCGGGAGGCGGAGTTCTTTGGGTGGAGTTTAAATATCATATTCAGCACAAACATTTTAAGGTATGTCTCAGGGTGCCTGGAGGCTCGGCTAGTCACTATTTTATTGAAAGATCAATCCACTGCTGCCAGTTTCATGGCAAACTATGGGCATCGACAGATGACACAATCCAGACAGGGCATTGTGCTCAGAGCTTGGGTTGGCTTGGGCGTTAACGCGCAGTGTCATTAGGTTCTCTTGCATGTTCTTCGTTCAGCTGTGATTCTGTGATCCAACACTCTACCCTTTGGTGCGCGTGTGTCGGGACCGCATACACTAAATGCGTTGATGTTCCATGGAGGAGTACTGTAAGACTACTAGGAACAAGTGCCTTACTAGTAGTAACAAGAAGCTATTAGAAACAATTGTTTCTAATAGCAAACATTGTTACTAGTAGTAAGGCACTTGTTACTACTAGTAAGGCACTTGTTCCTAGTAGCGAACATTGTTACTACTTGCATTTGGTATCATCTGATTCCCCAAGGCAAAAGGTCCGCCACACGATGATTGAGAGTGCATTGGTGCCGGCAGCTGAGTTCACTGAGAGGCGGAGTAGTGGTGGGGTGGAGCGGCTTTTCCTCGACTGAGGCAGCTTTTCCCCACCTTCCCTCACGGGGAGCAAATACAAGGCAACCATCATAGGATCCTTTGTTTGATAATGGCCGCATCGTTTCATTATTGGAATACAGGATACAGGATATCGGATACAGGTGAGTGAGATATGGGTGCAGCATTGTGCAGTTGTTGCCTCCGAGGCGACAACAGACGCAGCTTTGCAAGCAAATGATCCAGGACCTTTGATGCTTCCGTGATGCTTTGACCAGCCAAACTTTGCGTTGTTTGGCGGACAACACGAGATCTATGGTTACGCTTCCCTAAAAATCTAGGAACTAAATGAATAGTGCAAGCGCATCTTCAAGGAAGCTCCCCAAAAGGTGGCGGGGGGAGCTTCCTTTTTTGCTCTCATGCCGAACGAGGTGTTTGCCGCGACCCTGGAGCGTTCCGCGTCCAGGGTCAGGGTTCCATCTGTAGAAGCCAACATCAACTCACAAGAGTGAGTCAAAGGAAATGGTCCATGACAAAGGGGTAGCCTTCGCCCCTTTTTCAAAGGCCCGAGCAAGCATCTCAAGTGGCGTATTGCCCAGGAAAGCTTCTGCGCCAAACAAGGCACCTTTAGGGAACGTCTTACCATTGCACTTGTTCCCTTTCTGCAGGAGCGAAGGGGCAACGGCAATCTGTTTGCCTTTGCAGTAAGTAATGGCCGCACGAATGATGGCCGCATAGGCCTGTACTGTGCATACAGTTCCAGCTGGGAGGGCAAACCTTGAGCCTTGATGGAAGGCCAGAACGGCAAGCTCAAAAACCGAACACGCCAGACCATCACCAACCCGCCATTGCAATGTGTTGCTAAAGTGCAGGAAGGTGCGGAAGTTCACTTCAGAAAGGGCTTTGGTGTTGGAAAAGGGCATCTGCACATCGTTATGAAATTTCCAGGTGTACAAGTCAGTAGAAACATCCCACGACCATCGCGGACATTGTTGTCGAAGGGGGATGCGAGGGGGCTGTGCCTGTGTCACGACAGCCTCCGATTCAGCAGGGCGTTCAGGTTTCCGACAAGCACGATTGAGTTTGGCAAGCCACAATTGGCGTGCGAAGACGTCAGCCTCCTTGACCTGGATGTCGGCTTTGATCTTGCCTGCCATCACATGAATCTGTTGTTTGGCAAATCGATCGGCCAATCGGTTCAGAGTGATGTCTCGGACATTTGAGCCGACAGCAGCTGCCTCAACGTCTGTCACACTCTCTGCCGGGATGTGCTCGAGAAGGTGCGCAGGACACCAAGTCAGTTGAAGGGGACACTCACAAAAGCCACTTCTCTGATGGATAAGGTTGTGCAAAAATCCCCACCAGTTGGAATGGGTCCAGTCAATGTGCACCACCCCTAAACGGAGAAGCTCGTTGAACTGGTTGACCACAGTCTGAGAATCGGTGTGAATCACCAAGGGCCCTTTAGCGCCTGCAAACGCTGCGAGGATTGCCCATAGTTCGGCACTGTAACTGGACAGCCTCCAATGACGGACTAAGCCAGCGGACAACAGCTGCTCATCCTCTCCAACAACCGCAAAGGAGGCCACGGTCAGCCAGGGATGACTGGCTAGCTGAACGGACCCATCCGTCCAAACATGTTGTACGTTAGGTACGGGTGCACCCCACGCATGCACTGCCAGCTCAGAAGGTTGGGAAACTCGGAGTTTTGCCCGAATGTCTTCAACCGGAGTCTCAACAATTCCGAGCTGATCAAAGTTCGGCCCGAAAAAGAAACAGGTCGACGGTTGGCGGAGATCCTCTGGCAACGCAGTACACTCATCCACAAAGTGGAATAAGGATTCCTTGGCAGCTCCACAGAATCTACACTGGGCAGAATCAATAAGCCCTGAGGCGGCGAGACGGTCTGCTGTGAGGGTACAGCCGGTGATTGCACTCTCCCAGTGAAAGGAGAAGGAGAAGTTGTCATTCGGAACAGCCAACATCTTCTTCTTAGCCGAGAGGGTGAGGCTGAAGTCCAGGAACCCTTGAGCTTTGTGAATGTCTTTCCTTGGCATCAGGCTAGCAATACAGTAGCACTTGTGAGCAGCAACACTCTTCAAAATGCACTTCAGATCAGTCAAGGAGAACTCCAGGAAACTAACTTCGGGTGCTTGAAGGAGCGAGAATCCAAACGGGCTGCACCACTCAATGTCCAGCACATGGCATGCTTGGCTAAACTGCATCATCCATGATTGCGAAGTGAACTGGTCCTGCTCATAAATCGCTCGCCACGACTGTCTGGCAAAGTGAGAGGTTCGCAAGAACCGCGCAGATTCAATGATTGTCGTGACAGCACGAAACAAGAAGGGATCCAATTTATGTGCTTTGTGAACGACACAGAGTAGGAGGTGGTTTGATCGCCACTTGGGTCGGTCTTGCCATATAGCATCCGCAATGGCGCACTGCAATCTGGCTAGCAATCTCTTCGGGAGGAAGTTAAGCTGCGGTGCAAACGCGACCTGAGGCAGAACCTTAGTGGTCAGAATCTGTGCCCACTTGTAGGCATCACAAGGGAGTGCACGAATCGCTTCACAGTCTCGCAGCGCAGCTTGCAGCTTTGTAAGCGGAAAGCTTCCAACATTTTTCCGTGTGGTCTGAACATGTGCCCCAAGGATGTTAACCACCTCAACGAGTTGCATCTGTGGCAAGGCAGTCTTCAAAGCCTTTCGCAGATCAGCCGTAGTGGCAAAAATTTCACATTTCCCAGCGTTTAGAAACTGGCCACAAAGGGAATCCCATAGCTCCGTGGCTCGGACTGCAGCAACCAAATTGGCAATGGAGGGCAGCCGAGTCCACAAGTAGGTGTCGTCAATGAAAGCTCTGAAATCGACTCCATCAATGTTGCAAACAATCCAGGCCCAAATAGCCATGTGGATATTGATGCAGAGAAGGCTGAGGGAACATCCCTGGACAACACCATTCGGTGTAGATATGGCCTGCTTCCGCGTCCATTGTTTAAAGGACAGGAATCTCGTCATTCTTGTATACAGCGCCAGGAACCCACGCACAAAATTCTTGGGTAGGCCCAGGGCAAGCATAATGGCTGCGCAAAGCTTGGGCATCAAACGATCAAAGCACTTAGCCTTATCGAGCTTGAGGGCAGCGAAGGAGCCCTGGAAGGCGTGCGCTCGATCAATCTCCAGTTGCATGGTCATATGCACTTCAGACATCAGCCTACCTTTGATGCCCCCTTTCAGTTGCGGAGGCATAATATCTTGCTGCCATTCCTGGAGTTGGCCAAAGCGTAGACCCGTGTACAAGAGGGTGAACACGGATTGCAGAGAAATGAGGCGCTTGGAAAGTGGAGCATCACTGCCATCCTTGTTGTGAATAACCATACGGACCTGCGTCAGAATCTGAGGAAATTCCAGAGTGCCAGCTTCAATAGCATTGAAGAGCATCGCATCAGGTCTAAACGCTGCTGGTGGAAGAGCCTGCACTTCACGTGTTTGCCATGCATCAAGCCCCGCAGCCGCATCAGGCCGATGTTTGGCAGCCTGTCTCCAGAGTTGATCCTCTGTGATGGGAGGGAGGACCACCGACCGGCCTTTGTCATGTATGTACGGCCACACTTGTTTGAGGATCTGCATCTCATGAGTATAAGATGATGTTCCCATTGTCATCTTCCACCAAGTTTGGTGGGACCACACGACCCTTCTTCTTGAGGTACTGGTAAACAATCTTGCCAATTGTGGGCGATGAGGTGGCAAACTTCATAGCTGACCTCCATCGCCGGATTGCGGCAAGTTTGAGTTGCTTCATTTCAGTACGAATAGCCTTCAAGGTGACTTCAATGAGATGTGGTACATCATGGGCGAAGATCTGCCTGACCGAGACGGGCATCAATTTCGCAACTTTGAGCTTTCGCAACAGCCTATCCCTAAGGATCCGAGAATCTACTTTTCATGGCTGCCAGCCACTTTCCAAGGTTCTGGCCCCCTAGAAGCCAATGCTGGAAGATAAGATTTGTGGCTGGCAGCTAGGATTCATGGCTGGCAGCCACAAATCTTATCTTCTCAAAACTGGCTGGCAGCCATGAAAAGTAGATTCTACTTCTAAATGTGGCTTCTGCCCAAACTCATGTTACCACCTCCAAGAAGCGCTTCTGGGAAGCCACAAAAGCGCTTCTTGGAAACAAGATATTTGATATGTTGCAGCTGTTTGGCTTTAAGCAAGCTAGGTATAGATGTCAGGAGAAGCAACGCTGCCCATCCCCCAGCCTGCAATAAAGGCAGATATCAGCAAGCTGGTGGCCTTTGCAAAAGGCTTCCCTGACTCTTGCAATGCAAACCTGTGGCCAGCTGACCCTGAAGAAGCCTGCGCAAGGCATGCATTGTTTTTGGGTGTGTGGTTCAAGCATGGGGCTTTGAGCAAGCCTGTGGAAAGGCAAGCAATGAAAGAAGCTAACCATAAATTGACCACATCAGAATGCAAGTTGATCGTGAACCAAATTCATGAATGCAAAAACTTTCTGAGAAGAAAATGGAAAAATCTCAAGACTGGAGAAAAAACCTCTGGTCTATTGATGGGTTTGATGCAAAGTCTGTTTGGCACTCCACAGCCTGCAGAAAGGCCAGTGAGAAGGCTTAACCAGAAGACACCAAAAAAGAAAGCCCTTCAGCCTGCAGAAGAGAAGCCTGAGCAAGGCCCAGCACCTATCACTTTTTTAGAATCCCCAGCTGCCATTCTACCATCAGACCAAGAGGTGGTGGAAATCGAAAGTACAGCTGCAAGCACAGCAGTGTCACAACAAGATCTGGAGCCTGCAAAAAGGCCATCATGCAAAAAAGCGCCAAAGAAAGTGCCAGCCTGCAAAAGGCCAAGTGCAGCAAGCAAAGCCAAGGCATGTTGGAAGAAGAGCCTTTCCTTTGGGTTTGTTAAGGAAACCAAAGCTTCAAACAAGGCTTACATTGTGTCCAAGCCTGAAGAAGGCAGCAAGCCAACTTGCCTGGTGAATGTGCAATTGCCTAGGGGTCCTGACCAAGACAGAGTCATGTCTGCACTTATGGCTAAAGCCTGCGAAGAGGCAAGCCTGGAGAAAAAGCAGCTGGTCTCATACAAAGATCAGCTGCTGAAGGACTCGCCAGCACAGCCTGCATAAAGGCACCCCTTGGTGAGGATCAAGGGACAGACAGCACAAAGGCCACTGGGGAGAAGCCTGAGCAAGGCACCATTGGCTTGCACAGCCTGCATGAAGGCCAGCT